TACAAAAAGAGTTTAAAATATCAGCCGTGCTGTGTTACGTAATTTAAACGTTTTCCTTCAGATCGGCGCCGTTTTAAATATCTCATCTATTAAATTAACTTTCACATAACATAGATTTTGGTTCAGTTTACTTACCTGTGTCTCACCATGTTCGGTTTAATTGTCTTCGGCACACTGGTATTACTGTCCGTGATTACCAGTTCCTTTGGCAATTGCGCGTCCAACTTTCCTTCGGATAACTGCAAGAAAGTCAAGAACGATAAGGAGGATAGCTAACAACTGTTACTCACTCTCGTGTTTCTGGCCGTTAATTCAAACGAGGACACGACAGCTATTGGACGTCGTCATTGAATGGTCAGTACCCTGATTCATTAATGTGATGCACTTTCCTTCGTCCTGTGTTCTGGCTCAACCCAGTAGACTCAACGTATTCGGTTTTATACCCTTATCTAATGGCGGGAACAGTGAATATCTGAAAAGTTATTCCCCGCCAAAAATCAGGATGTTTTTCTCAGCAGAATTTATATATAATCGCTGAATTTGGCGTCTGTTAGTTTTGGTTAGTAGAAAAATAGTGTTTGTAAGGTAGACCAAATTTAAACTGTTTTCTATAAATTCTGTTGAGAAAATATAAGGAAAAAACATTTTTATTGGCCCTCGTGTATAGTGTTTTAACGAGACATCTTCGTCACAAAAGTTCAGATTAACCTTATCCTGTTTTGTTTTCAAACACACTAAATATTTTAAAAATAACGTCTCTGACATCTGTCAGCAACAAACTGACGGAGAAACAACAAATGTGAAGCATAACTAACGATCTTGAGTCACGCACCTCAAACAGTTGAAATGCTGCTAAAATTTCGCCAGTGAATTCGTCACCATTGAGCAACTTGTACCACTCGAGACGTGGTTTGTTGTATTCCTCCCCTACCAACTGTACGTGTGGTTTGGCTGTTGTGAGGCCAACCAGTTCCTTCTTGGACTGCAACAGTAACAGAATAACATCATCAAAATCGGTAGAGAAATACACGTTAATCGCTAAACTCTTTTTATACTCACTACCACGATATCACGACTTTGTTCTGAGCCAGTTCAATTCATTCCATTTAATATTATCCTTGTATCTGTACCAATGGTCCCCCAAAGTAGGCCCTTTCCTACTGTTTTTCAAACTAAAAATACCTAGTAATTTCTCATCGCCCATATGTGTGCTACATGTTCCACCAATCTCAAGCCCATCATGTTCGTGTAGTGATATTTGTGGCAGGTTTCTATCTGAGTTGTTCGGTTTTCCGTCGCTAATCAACATTTCGCCATTGCCCCACAATCATCTATGACCACCGCACGGGGTGTGCGACGTTCCTGACCAGGAGACACTTGTCGTAGCCTCGGTACCAAGTTCGTGGCTCTATCAAAGGTGTTATGTGATATAGCAACTTACGCAAAAATCCGCGTCCATTACTTCGATTACAATGGAGGGAGGATTTGCCTTGATGGACTCACGTGGGCCGTGGAGCGTCACCCCTGAGAACACCAATGTCTTGTCCCAGACAGGGCTCAGTGTTTTCTTGATAACCTGTCAACAGGAACATTCTGATTAAGAAATTAATATTCTACGGGACCTAAATGTTCAGTACAGTGTTCGCCATTTTCCCTGGAGAACAATGCATGTGTTTTGTGCAGAGGAAACACTTCACTGGATTATTTATACAGACTTGCAGGTTACTGTTTTTATGATGTATTTTCTTCGATACCTTTAAAGTGGTTATTATCGTTCATCTATTATAATTGCGATATGTAAATGGATATCTATTATTCTGCCTGCACTCAGCATCGCTCTTGATCTGTTAGTTTTCATGTTTCGCATTCGGCAGCAACTGTATTTCAACCTGGCGTGTAATTCTTCTTTTTCTATGACGCAATTAATCTGGCTGAAATGTTTCTTTCCTTTATAGTCGCTTCGGATAAATTCTGAAGCAACATTTTAAAACTTTCGAATCCTTCCCAGTTCAAAATTTACAACTCCCCTTCTGTTAAACACTATAAACTTACGTAGTTAAGAAAGCGTCTTTAAACAACTCTGAAACCGTAAGATCTGATTTCAATGCAGTGTTAACTCATTCAAGACCTTTTTTGTTTAGAATTGTTGCTACCTGGTGAAACAACTGAAGAATTTTTCGTGTACAATAATCTATTAAGATAAGATTATATACGAGGTGCGATCGGAAAGTTTCAAGACTGTGTCAATAGCGGGCGAACCGGATGTAGTACGAGCTTCTGCCGCCAGGGGGTGCGGCCTACATTCATAGTGAATCAGTGTGCCAGCCGGCATCATCGAATTAGCATTTGTTTCTTAGTTACGGGCGTTTTGGTAGTGCATTACACCGACCCTCCTGCGATTTCGGAATGGCGGATTTTC